TATTTTATGTGAAAACGTATGTTTATACTATCTTGTTTATTTTTATTAATTAAAGACATATTATAATAAAACTACTTTTCTAAGTACAACGTTTTTTGATTGACTGAATTTTTAAATTTGTGTTATATTGAATCATTTTGAAAAAATATTATTTTTCATTCAAACTTTGATTGAACATAATAGCTTTTAATTTAAAACACTCATCATACCCAGTATGCAAAATTAATGCATATCGAAACTGTAACACGTTTTTCATCGTTAAAGAAAAGATTTTCTTTAATGACTTTTCATGCGGTAATTTATGAAAAGATGCTTGAAACCATGTTAAATGCGATAGCTGATGTATACAGTAATGCTGAGAACTATTCATACAATGTCACTGACTGCATGTATAATGGACTTTCTTTAATGATCAGCATGTTACTAAACTTCATTTGTCTAACGATAAAAACCTAGCTAATCAATTCAGTATTAGATATACTTTCTAATACGATAGTGAAGAAAATTTTTATTATCAGTACGATTATTTCTTAATAGATAGCAAAAATAATCAACAAATAGAATAATTCTTTTTCTTTTATCCATACTTCAACAATTAAACGAGTTACATCCTTATCATTTCCGTCATACTATGATACAGATTTCTGGCACGTATAAAGATGCAAAATAGTAGAAGATAAAGCCATAATTCGTTTAAATCTTGATATTGCGACGAACGAAAAAAAAACTGATTCTATCAGCTGATTGCTTTTGCTATTTCTTTCATCTTCACTTGAAGTCAAACTTTCATTGTATTATTTTGTTTCTTTGTTTTGTTAAACTTAATTTTTTTTCTACTATTTCTTTGAACAGTCGAGAAAGTTTAGCCCAGTAATTTCTACATCAAGCTCACTATTTTTAGACAATGTATTTGAGAGCAACACAACAAAAAACGTTTTTGTTTCAGGACAAAGCATCGAAATTAATTGTTGTAGGCGTTATTTTTCACTTGCATTTGAGATGAAGATAAGTAATAGTACTCAAGCTTGGAAGGTCACACTAGGTTTCTGATTGGTTCCCAATATTATAACCAAAATGAATGATTAAATAATTATCAAAAGTAATATTTAATTTTTTTTTTTAGTTTTCTCTTATTTTTTCTTGTAGGATATAACACGATAATACACGTATACAGTGTTAGTAGTCTATTCAAATTTTTAAAATAATTATGTTCTTGAACATAATTGCATACAAAATAAAACATGTTGCAAACTTTTTGTCCCATCCAATATATTCTCTCTCTATTCTATTGATAGCATAATAAAAAAGATGATGATGTTGGACGAAATCTACTTTTGTGGATTTTCTTCGTAGTCTGAAGAAGTCAACATTGTTGATGAAATGTTACGCAAAATAAATTGAACAATAGGAAGAGAAATTATAAATATTAATTCAATTTAATAACATATCATTTCTCTCAAGTTATGATATCAGTTTATGTATTTAATAGAGATAAACAACTCAGATGTTTCGTATTAGATGTAAAATCCGCGAAATAAAAAATCAACTCGTCTAAATTCAATAAACTAAGTATAAAAAGAAATTCGATCTTTGACAAAAAATAGTTTGTTCATTCAATTATACAACTATATTTTTATTGCTTCTCAATATGCCTTATTCATTTTCTCTAAATAAAGCAGTTAGTTATACTCAATTTTTTTTTAGTTAACTTATAACTCACTCATGCAGATCAAATCATAAGTCCATTTCAGGAACGAGTAACAAAAGAAATAACGGCAGTAAAATTAAGTAAGAAGCAGCTCGGTTTGTGTCTTAATCTATCGTTAACTGTTTTAGGTACAGGTGTGTGTGTGTACTAAGTATTTCTCACTGTTATCACACACACACACCTTTTCCTCGAACTCAAAAATATCACACACACCTTATGACCACCAGATCACGTGTAATAGATAAAATACGTTATAATAGCGCGTGATGGAATATAGAAAGAAATTTGAATTAGTACTCAAAGTTTGCGTACTTGAGAAAGTTTGCACATGTTCAGCTCTGTTATATCTAACG